GCACTGTAAGGGTTGACACGAGGGCTAAAATCACTCGAGCGAAAAAATAACACAGATAATTTTATTTTTTGTTTAGGTGGTTAAGAACAATATATTGTAAATTTAGAAATTTTTTGTTTTCAAAACAAAATATTTCTCTGAAATAAAATTTGTTACCTGCGATGTTTGGACAGTGAATACAATCTGTTGTTTATGAGTTAGGTAGGTACAAAATTAAAAACCGGATATCATTAATCTGCTCTCCAATATTAAATTAAATACGTAATAAATAAATATTAAATTAAATACCTACATACCTAATTAAAAACACATATTATTAATTTATTGCGACCCATACATTTTTGTGTGTTGGGGTCGGGAATTGTGCAGGGATATGTGTGCAGTATGTCCCCATCGGTAGATATATATTTTTAATGACATGTGATGGGTCCCCCAAACAAATTACACTTCGACCTGAGAACCGCAGTTTGTTATTCACCTGGTGCAACTAGGGGTGACCTCAGAGTCATTAAATATTTTCAAGATAAAATATTTTGATTGTAGGTAGGTACAAACAATTCTACCGACAAACTCATTTTGTCTTGTCTGCATTTAGCGTATACATCTACATTTTCATATTATGCTTAGAAGTTTTTTGAAATACTAGGTTTTAACATTTGCCACTTACGTAATTTTGACATTTGTCACCCACGAGGTTTCGCCATTTGTCTCTACACTGAGAAAAAAATGGAACAAATAAACTGTGTAGCTAATACTTTTATTAATAAAAATATATTTAGGATAAATAAACTGTACCCTTGTCCCATATTTAAATATTTTTTTTTTGGGAGCAATAAACTTTTTTCTCAGTGTAGGAGCTATTTGTCATTTACGAGGTTTTGCCAATGGTCACTCACGTGATTTTGACATTTGTCACTTTGGTGAATTTCAAAAAAATTAGTTTATCCTGTCCTTTAAAGGACAATTGTTCATGACATATAAAAAAATTGTTTATATAATTTTATTTCAACATAACCAATCATGTTTGTACGATAAGAAAAAAAGTTTATTAGTTTGTCATTTTGTTTACATATATACAAATATATTTTTAAATTATTATTGTGCCTTATATCACCCTTCTGGCGTATCCTGCAGATAATATTTTAGGTACAGTTTCCACAATTATTTATTTGTAATATAAAAATTGACACAAATGTACACATAACTTAAAAAAAAACATTTAAAGGAAAACAGTTCAATTAGTAAAAAATTATTTTTTTTCAAACCGACCCTTAAACCCTCATTAACATATTCCTCAAGTTTTTTTATCATTCTCATGGCATAAGTAATTCTGGTAATTTTTTTAAAAAATTGCCGCTCAAATTTTTAAATCACAGTTGGCTAATGCTCCTTTGCTGTTTGACAGATTTAACTTATGTTGACAGTTATAAGAGTGATTGTTTTTGTGCAAATTAAAGTAAGTTTTACAATTAATGAATGTCACTTTATCATACATCATTCTCCCGGATCACTTATTAATTGTTGTGACATATTTTTTGTTTTTTTATGCATAAACATTCTGGAAAGTGGTCAAAAATCACTTTTTGGTTAAAAAGTAGGTATTTCAACTAGTTTTAATAAAAAAATATTTTGGTTTAGAATCTAAAAAAATAATTTTTATTAAATTCACCCACTTACAAGGTTTTGCCGTTTAGAAAATTTTAAATTATATTTTTTATGTAATTTTTTAAGGTTTTTAAAATACAAAGTATTTTTTGTTTTTTTTTAATACTCTTATCAATTGTACCTATGATTTAAATTGAAAACAAAAAAGAACAACTAATTTCAATATCATCTTCCATTTCATGATTCAGTATTTACTTTCCGCAAAACAATGACGTACCCTACCGTTAAAGTGATGATTTTGTGTATTCCCGGTGTGAGAGAACAATCGAGAGAAACATATGTATCAAATAAGTAAGTGTTCGACCCTCTACTGTTTTTCATAGGGGCGCAAACATCCACTGCCACTGTACTGCATTAAAAGCCCATTATTGATTTAATAGATGCTAATTTTGCTATTGTACCACTAAATTAAGATATCTAATGTCATGGCGATGGCAACTGTTTAAGTTTTGAGTGTTTTACATTTCTATTCCAAAAGCAAATTGCCTAAGTTTATAATACGTATACGTAGCTACATATATAGCTATAAAGCTAAGAACCTACATCTAGAAAGTAGTGATGCAACGGTTTCGGGTTTTACGGTTACGGTTACGGTTAGCTCTACGGTTACGAATAAATTCACGGTTATTCAAAAAAAAACACAGAATTACGAAAAGTAAAGTTTATTGTTCAAAATGAAATTAATACACACGTTCAGTAAAGGTTAAATAATAATTTATGTAAAACAAATACAGAATTTCTAATAAAACTATAAAATAAAAGGAAATGAGTAACATTTTTAACCTAAAAACAGTAAAGTAAAACCTAAGTAGGTACCTGAATAATATATTTAAAAAAATAAAAAAATTAAGTTAATATTCGAAAATTAACGAGTCAAATTTTTATTTAAAAAACATAACATCTGCAAATTCTGCGGAATCAGCATCCTATTTGGTGTTTGCACAAGACCTGCAGTCGAAAACAACCTCTCCGAATTCACTGACAATGGTTTGTATGAAACGTGTAACGCGTTTTCCAGAATGTAGACGGATTTGACGTATGTGGTATATTTGGTAACGTTAAATACTCTTCAAATTTCTTTTTAAATGCATTCACAAAGTAGCATGAAAAACCGTAAATTCCGTATACTCTCTAAAAGTGAAACAGTGAAATTTTCACTATTTCCGTCAGTGAGTTATTATTCACTGTAAAATTAGTGTTTTTCAATATAAATTAGTGAAATTTTAACTTTTACAAATTAGTGTTTTTTATTATCACTACTTTTCCGGAACTCTCGACATAAAATAGTGAAATTTTAATTTTTTTGAACTAAACCTATTTCACTAATTTGTACAATATAATTTCCATTAAATAAATTATTGCAAAGAAATCGCTACATGAAAAAGTGAGTATTCACTAATTGCTAGTGGTATACTTATCACTGCGGCAAATAGTTAATATGCACTGTCAATCAGTGAAAATCCACTGTTTCATTTTTAGAGAGTACGGTTACGGTTAACCGTATAATATCGAAAACCGTGAATTAACCGTAACCGTAACCGTAACCGTTGCAACACTACTAGAAAGCAATTAAAAATACTCAATAATTATTTAATTAAAATTATTCCCTGTAAATATAAACCGTACCTATTATAATATAATATCTACTCTCTAAAAATGAAACAGTGGATTTTCACTGATTGACAGTGCATATTAACTATTTGCCGCAGTGATAAGTATACCACTAGCAATTAGTGAATACTCACTTTTATATGTAGCGATTTCTTTGCACTTATTTATTTAGTGGAAATTACACTGTACAAATTAGTGAAATAGGTTAGTAGTTATGATAACTAAGTTCAAAAAAGTTAAAATTTCACTATTTTATGTCGAGAGTTCCGGAAAAGTAGTGATAATAAAAAACACTAATTTGGAGAAGTTAAAATTTCACTAATTTATATTGAAAAACACTAATTTTATAGTGATTAATAACTCACTGACGGAAATAGTGAAAATTTCACTGTTTCACTTTTAGAGAGTATAGTTACAATAAATACCTACACATTTTAGTGCAAATTGTAAACATTTTAATTCAGTAAAAATCATAAAACAAATAGGTAAGTCATATAAATTTAAACAGCATTATGTATTATTAGTAGCTTTGATTGAGAACGTCTCCACTCAACGGTGAAAGAACCAAAAACGGGTATTATATTATGTATTAGTAGTAGATATATTTTGTCGTTTACTATTTTAAAATGTAGTTGTCGGCGTTTTTTTAGAGGACTCAAATATAAAAAGGTTTGATTTTAAGGTTATGTTTGTACACTGAAAGAAATATATACTAAAGTTAAATAAAAAAATAATTAGGGCAAATATATTTTATGTTTCATATATGGACTACCACATATATTGCTAAAACAAATATATTCGTTTGGTTAGCAGCCTATTGCTGCCCTAGCAATATAAATGTGTTTCTAGCAATATTTTTTTGCTGTAATTCACTTATAGTTTACATTTTATAGTAAGGGTAAGTTTATTTTTATTTAGATCTAACATATCTTCTTTACAATAAATGTATTACAAAATTTAACATACATTCATAATAAACAGTAGTATAAATGTGTAAAGCACTAGTATAAAATTTTTAGTATAAATTTGTATTTACTTTTAGCAACAAATTTCTTTCAGTGTACAACCATTATTTTTTGTTAGATATCTTAAAAATGAAAATTTAAGTATAAATTACTTTTTATTAGGTAAATTTATCATTAGTTCATTCTGCACCTATATATAGGTATTGTATACAAATATACGTAGGTACCGAATTGAATCCTTTGACAAAACATGAAAATGCAACGATTTAGGTAGTTCTTGAATTACATTTACAATTTAAAACACAATAATTCACCATGATCATGATCAGTGCACTTGGACAAAATACACACCAATTAGTATTTTAATTGGCGCTTAAGATAAACTTTTTAAATTTTCATTATCCTTTTTAATAAAATTATAATTTGTATTATCAGAATTAAAATTAAATGGGAAAATATAAAATAATTTAAAACGTCAGGGTATGCAATGCATTTTTGCTTCGATTGTATGTATCCTGACAACAAACATTTATTGTAATTGATATTATATTTATTATATTAAATAAACTAAATACCTAAATTCAACAAAAATACCTATTATAAATCAATATAAACGTAAATTAAAACAGTAGGCATAGTAAAAAGGCGGAGCAAAGGCCATCCCTCTCGCAGGGCGCCGACGAATCCGGAGCCAGGTCCTGTTCGTCGAACGTAGTCCGGAGCATGTCCTGGCTGCCGGAAAACTCCGCCAGCTATTAGCGCACGTGCATCTCGTTAGATAGCACGTGTCCTCAGTAACCGCGACGCGCCGTACAAAAGACATAATCGGTGCACAATCAAATCCGAATTATCAACATTAATAATGCAATAATTACCCTGAAAGTGTGTGTGCAATTCCTCAAGATGTTTAACATGGACAATTTGGATCTGGAGACCGTCAACAGGCAGTTTTTTTTCGAGGCGAATCCTTTTATAAGTACTATTCATAGTAGCGGTAGCACGACCGGATCGTCAAATAGTAGTGACTTGTTTTTATATGATGAAAATAGTAGTGATTCCGGTACGTCCAGTTGCTCCTATAACAGCGATCAGGAAAATCAGTCGGAACCAAAAGAGTAAGTGTTATCGCCATATAATTCATTTATTCATATAATAAATCATTTTAGCTTGTTGGTTATAACTATTATAGTTATAATAGAAAATCAAAAAAAAGTTAAATTAGTTAAAAAATAACTTATAATTTATTAATTACTATAGTAATTAATGAAAAAACGACTTTTCCAACGGCCACATTAAAAACTACAACTTTTTGTAATTGTGTAATTTTTATGATGCAACGATACAATTATAATTACGGTTACGTTTACGACTAATATTTTAGATAACTTCGTTTATAAACCAAGTTATCTGCTCACCGTTGCTAACTCCGTTATTATTGGAGCTACCTACAAAGTCGGTTAAATTAGAAAATTAATGGAATTTTTTCTTCTGATTAAAATATTGAAAACAGTAAAAAACTTAACTTTGGGTTTCCGAAATATTCACAAAAAATAACATTTTTTATACCCTGCATTTTTTACAAATTTAGAGACAATTTATTTTGAAAAAAAATATAACATAAATACTATAAACTTTAAAAATAAACAATTAATAAGCACTTGAACTTTCTGGTGGTTGTTGAACAAAGTTTTTACCATGGTTTAACAATCACCAGAAAGTTCAAGAACCTACTTATTAATTGTTTATTTTTAAAGTTTATGGTAGTTATGTTATGATAATTTTTTTCTGCAGAAACCAGATTCTACTCTCTAAAAATGAATTAGTGGATTCTCACTGATTGACAGTGCATATTAACTATTTGCCGCAGTGATAAGTATACCACTAGCAATTAGTGAATACTCACTTTTTCATGTAGCGATTTCTTTGCACTAATTTATTTAGTGGAAATTACACTGTACAAATTAGTAAAATAGGTTTAGTTCAAAAAAGTTAAAATTTCACTATTTTATGTCGAGAGTTCCGGAAAAGTAGTGATAATAAAAAACACTAATTTGGAGAGGTTAAAATTTTACTAATTTATATTGAAAAACACTAATTTTACAGTGAATAATAACTCACTGACGGAAATAGTGAAAATTTTACTGTTTTTTTTCCTAACGTTAATTTTGATAGGCCGTTAAAAATTGTTAGTGCAAAGTGTGTTTTGGACATTTTTATTGCAATTTTACTCAACATCATTGTGCCTTTTCTTCGACATAAAAAAGTGCTCAATTAATTAATTAGGTACCTAAAATAGAAAACAATGCTTTTTAGTGATTTTATTTTTTAATCGCAACCTAATCCAGTGTGCACTTTTTTTTCTTACAAAAATATTTTTTAGTCCGGTCCGGTTACTTTTTTTTCGAGTGCCATCTTTAAAGGCGTAGTTCCATTAAAAATCATTTTTGACCTCATGTTCTTAAGGTATTTTTTATATTTTTCGCTGTACAATCTCCCATTAAAATTTTTGGATGGAATTCGGAGACACAATAGTATATTATTTATTAGGATTTATAAACGTCATTTTAGTTACGAGTTAAGAGCGAAGCTTGCGAGCGAGTAATTAATAAAATGAGTGTCTAGAGAAGTTTATAAAACTATAAGATATCTTCGACGAACACAAAGAATAATTTAAATCCAATTTTATTTGTTAAACATTTGACATCTGTCAACTTTAAACGGATTTAACCTTATAAATACATATATTTATCATAAAGCTAACTTCAGCCAGTGACTAAATAAAATGTCCAAAAGCCACTATTGCTAACTTTAGCCCGTGAGTAAAGTATATTTTAAATTGTGAACCTTAAAATATAGAACATTTATTTATTTATAGGAGCAAATAGGTATCATGCAATATTAGAAGACAATAAAAATAATTTCTATACATTTATAAGGTTTATTGGAGTTAAATATAAAAATTCATTAGTGATAAACGTATGCAGGTTAAATATGCGTTTTTTAAACATTTCCTACGTAATATTATTAAACTTATTTATGAGAAAATATATTTTTCACAAAAATTAAGTTAAAAGAAATTAAATCAAAATAAATTATTTAATAAATTTAAATACCCGATTTTATTGAAATTTGGATACAGAATTTATATTGATGGAGCTAATTTTGCTTTAACTAGATTAAAATTGCCAAGTCCCGGGAGGCACCGTATCAAATATTAATGAAGGTACGCCACTGATTTATATATTTTTTTATTAGGCCACTTTTTTGTTTCCTGAGTTGTGTCCGTATCTTACCTCTTTTTCGACCGAAAAAATAAAAACCATATTATTTTGCACCTTTTTCCAGTTAAACAAAAACTACCTCTTAATATTTTTTGATCAAGCCATTCTGGAGAAAATTGACAAAACGTATACATATCGTTGCTAAATTTCAACATAATCGGACAAACAATATTTAAGATATTTAAAAAAAAGTATCTTGAAAAATAAGCATTTCCGGACCTACGTTTATATTAACTTTTTTTCTTATTTTTGGATAACCATTAAATTTCACCCTGGATAAGCAATGCATAATTTGCCGCTTTGGCATATCTACTCAACTTTCTCAGATTGATAGAATTTGAGCGTTTAAATGAACTTGTGTTGCCAATGGCAACTTGCCATGGTAACATAAAAATCATGGCTTGCTTATTGTTTAATTCTTCTCTAGATCTACTAGACTAGTAAGAAAAATACATAAAATAATACTTTTTTAACAGATAAATATTACCCAATTAGCGCAAAAACACTAATTGGGTAATATTTATCTGTTAAAAAAGTATTATTTTATGTATTTTTCTTCAAAATTTTATTGTAAAAATAAACGTTTTTTAATTAAATGTGAATCATGTGAAAATATGATGTATAGGTACCTCAATTAAAAAATAATAAAAGGTGTGATAAACCATCCCCATATTGACCGTATGGTCCATTCAAACATAATTTACCATCTGACATTATACCACTTCCGTGGGATCTAACTCACACCGGAATCAGATGACCATAAATGTAATCATAGCACCCTAATTCTACTTAATTTTAAAATACGATTCATTAATTATGTACTTGTCATTGTTTAAAAGGGAGATCTCATATATTTCCAGGACAAACATCAAAATAGCTTTTGTTTTTACTAAACGAACAAACTTTTTCTTAGAGGGCATCGGCACAGAAGACGCAGCAAATGTCCGACCCAACAAATCCATCAAAGACAGGCGGCCAACCTGAGGGAGCGCAAAAGGATGCAGTCGATTAACGACGCGTTCGAAGGACTGCGAGCGCACATACCCACGTTGCCGTACGAAAAACGATTATCGAAAGTGGACACGTTGAAACTGGCCATAGGATACATCAATTTCCTCAGCGAATTGGTCAGAACCGATAGGAACTCGAACTCGGAGTATTTCAATGGACATAACAGGAATACCGAGAAGGATGCACCCAAGAAAATTATCGTTAGAGGTAAGAAATTTAATTTTTTTAAAGTATCACATTTTTAACGAAATAATATAATCACAAAATAATTACACTGGTTTAAAAATTAATAAAAAATACATTTTTTTTCTAATTTTTATCAAAATATGTTTTTTTTCGAATGTAGCTTACAATAATTAGGGCCATCTTGAGTTATAAAAGTCCTATCTAGTTGCAAAAAGTGTCAAATTAAACATAATACCCGAAGTGTCAAATTAAATATAATCGAATCGCCGACCAATATCACTCTCTTAATGCCCAATCAGTTGACTAGTTAAGTGCAATGAGCTGGAATATTGACAAAAAAAAATATTTTTGGACAAAAATAACAATGCAACATTTACCCAGAATGAATTAAAAGCATTGAAATATTACCATTTTCGAATTATCTACAGTGTGACCCATTTGTTCTCCACTCACCCTTGTAAAATCTTTATTTATTATGCGATTTTAACCGGATTTGTTTTGAAGTGTAGATCTTGATAAACATGGGCGGATTTAGGCATGGGTATTATGGGCTGCAGCCCAAGGCCCCGTCCCATCGAGGGCCCCCTACGCAATGCAAATATTTTTAAAGAAATATAAAACAGACTGATTAAAAAATCAATTATTTAATAGTTGCATAGAGGTAAAATATTGAGCCTGTTAAAATATATTATTATTAAGAGGCCCCTCATTTCTATTTCTCATGTAAATAGCATGGAAACAAATTAACTTGGGATTTATATATCTTTTTAACGGATTAATAGACTTAAATGAAAACGCAGGAGGCTGGGGGGCACACTTAAAAATTTACTTTTTTCGCAAACTTAACAATTAAAATTCAATTTCAATTCTGCTTGCGCAGAACTTGTCTATATAAAGTCATTATAAACTCATATAAATTTGATGTGGGTCCCATATCTAATAACTGAGATATGGGTGTGCCCAAAATCCACCAGCCCACTGTTAGATACTAAGGTTTATTTGGTTCAAATTTTAAATTTCACAGTTTCGCCATGTCTTCACTCTGCAGAACCATGGTTACTGAGATTTTTTGATAAAAAAGTTTGAAAGCAATGATCGGATTCTTAGGGCTATACACAGGGCCGTCTCTAAGGTTTTGGCCGCTCCGGGCAAACTTGAAATACTTCGCCATAAAAAATACACTACAAATATTTGGAAACATTTAATAAAAAGCAAAAATAAAAACTTAAAAACTCAACATAACAAAAACATATATTAAATATAACAAATAAATATATAAATAATAGTATATTATGTATCAAGTTTGATAAACGCCATTTTATACACGAATTTAATTTAGTCACGAGCGAGCTTGCGAGCGAGTGCTTAAGTTCATGAGTGTATAAAAGTTTATAAACGAGGTGCATACTATACTTTTTCTACGACAAATACTTATTATTATCTTAAATTGATTTAAATCAAAAATTTGTATAGAGCGCCATCTATGAAACAACAGGGGAAACTGTCAAATGTCACATTTTTACATTTTATAAACACAATTATAAATTATAAATCGAAAAATATCTTGAAAATTGACAGTTTTTCACAGTGAAAGTAAAGGAAATGTTTTATGAGGACTTTACAGTAGAGTCCGTGCCCGAATTTAAGTTATAGTTTACTGCCGGCGAAATTAAAAGGTCAGTACAATGTTCATATAAACTTTTAAAATATTGGCGTTAAGAAACTATTTAATATTTTTGTATTTTTGTATTGAGATAATAAAATAAATTTCACATTTAGTACTTATTATTTTACAAGAGAGGCACTTTATTTTAACGATTTTATAACATTTGACAACTGTCAACTAACTTAAAACTAACTTCAGCCCGTGACTAAAAACCTGTTGCTAACTTCAGCCCGTGACTAAAGTGCCGTAAAGCCACAACTTGTCAATGTGTATTTAAAAGGTCACTTAGTGTATTGGAAACATGTACGATAAAGGGCGTTTTAAAGGTGGGAGTAGAAAAAATATTTTATTTTACATATTGCTACCTTGGTTTAATATGGTTCTATCTGCCATTATCTCAAAAATGAAATTTTTGCATAAAAAGGCTCTATGTACAATATAGAAATCTTTTTATGCAAAAATCCCATTTTCGAGAAAATGACTGAGAACCATGTAAAACCAAGGTAGAGATTTATAACTACATAGGTACATAAGTAATAGCTAATAAAGCTAACCAAAAACTTTAAAAAAATTCTTTAATAATTAAGCAAAAGTTAAAAATACAAATTTGGGAAAAAAACCAACATAACTTGTTTATAATATATACACTAGTGGGAAAAGTTAAGGGTTCAAAAATTTATTCCAAATTTTTAGCGATTTTTCAAATTTTGTTAAAAATGGCCGTATCGAAGTTCATCAATTTGAAGCTTCAAGTCTCTAATTTTTGGGCCTTAAGACGAAACATTTTTCCAAGCAACAATTAAGTATCGCGCAATCCTAATGAATATCGTGTTTTTTATTTTCTGTGTACGGACTTGCATTATTTTTTTTAACTAAACCACGATATGGAACGGATAGGTTGTTTATCCAGCTTTAATTTGTTTTTTTTGTAGGCCTTGATACGACCATTTCTCGCTGAGCTATCGGGCTTATAATGAAAAAGTATGATTTAAATTTGAATTTAATTTATTTTGCAATTTGTTAAAAAAAATTCATAACTTTAAATGCCGTTTGGTATAAAAATGTGAAAAAAGTGGAGATATTTTTTTTTGGATTTTATTAGAGATTATAAGCGTTTGAGAGTAAAAAAACGTGCTTTCATTTTTCAAAAATTCAATCGAATGAAACAAAAAAACGGCTGGATGGATCGAATTGAAACTTGCTAGTGTTTTTTTAATAATGTCCATTCCGCGTGTGATTTTCCCAAAAACCTCCAAACCCCATTTTTTCACAATTTTTTAAAATCATGTTACGAATGGAAAAAAATTGTTTTGAAAAAACATTAGCCGAACCTTGTAGGGCATTTATTCAAGTTTCTAAAACCGACCTCCAAATTTTTGTGCGTATCAAGGCCTACAAAAAAACAAATTAAAGCTGGATAAACAACCTATATCCATATGGTGGTTTAGTTAAAAAAAATAATGCTAGTACGTATACAGAGAAAAAAAAAATGAAAATATTTTCTTCACGATATTGATTAGGATTACGCGAGTGCGGCTTTCTTTTAAGATCTAAGAAAGCCGCACTTCTATTTAAAAACTCATTATAAATATGCAAAAAATTGTAGGCAAATAAATCATGTAGTGGCCATTATTGTTTGATTTTTTTAAATAAAGGCCCAAAAAAACGGCCGCCCCAAAATTGGAAGAAAAAAAATCTCAACATTTTTTTCCCGAATTGGATTGTAAATTCATTGCATAAAACCTCAGTATGAATAACGTAAAAGTCCAAATATAAACAATAAGTTGAATTTTGCTACTTGTACATAAACGGTCATAACTTTGGTATTGGATTTTTTTCGTAAATACCTTTTTTTCTTCGCAAAAGTGTGGACTCTACGTAGATAATTCCAAAATGGCCATATTGTGATGATTTCTATTTGATCTTGCAGAAAAGGTAAAAGTTGCATTCTGATTTTTGTCCAAAAAACGAGAAACAAAGAAAGTGATATTGGTCGGCGATTCGTTTATGTTTACTTTGATACCTTTTACAACCAGGTAGGCCTTTTCTAACTCGAGGTATGTCCCAAATTGTAAAGCTGCATTCGAAAAACAAATTAAACTTAAAATGTCGAAAACCTTGTCAACCAAATTATTCTTAATTGGGTGTTAACAAACGACTTATATAAATGCGAACGTGTCTTTTAATATTTAATTCTATGTTTTAATTATTGCTGGTAGCATCAACATGCCGAAAAAAATTAATGACACTGCTATTTGTGTTCCGGATACAGCTGCTTTGCGTAACGAATTACGATTGTCGGGGGGCCTTACTACGTAGGCACTGTATGTACGTACGGGGCTTTTCACCCCATGACCCGTCAATAATCAATCTTAAACACGGTGGTTATTACACCGCAATGATATCTACTTTATGTAGTACCATATATACACACGTGTGTGCCTGGATGGCCTTTCGATGGACTATTGTGATAACGTCCCGCGGAGAGGCTATAGTCTATGGCCCATTCACGCCGGATTAAGCAAATTTTTGAGTGTGACAATCGTTATTCGCATTTAATGCACCCTCAGTTCGTCCTTAATCGTTCGATGTTCATAAAGAACACATTAAAAAATTACACGCTATCTATGATTTTGTTTGGAACCTGCAGCAGTCTCTTAATTTAATTGGTGTTATAACATTGAAAACATTCTTAATAAATTAGAGTAAATTTAGGTAACTATTACAACTACACAATAAAAAAATGTTTGTTAATTTTAACCAAATATTAACAAGATTTTTGTTAATCCAGGTCCACATAACTTTATGTTAAGTTTACAACCAACTGTAATCTGTTTACTAATTGAATAAGTAGTTTGTAATTATAACAAAAATTTTGTAGATTTAATAACAAAATCCTATATCAATAATTCAACCTTAATTCTTTTAATTTTAAAAAACGACCTTATTTTTACAAACCTTTTTGTAGACACGGTAACAAAAGTATTTGTTGGAAACTGGGAACCTAAATAAAAAGAATTTTGATAAGAAATGTTGCTTTAATAATCAATTTGTCACAATATAATTATCACTTACTGATGTACACTGTAAAAAATAATTAACACAACTTTACAAGCTCCAACACCAAACTGTGTTATTCCAAGTCCACACGAAATCGTGTAAAATTTTAACACAGCATCAGTGTGTTGATTTGTTTTTTTATATCGTGTAATAATTTACACGAAGAATAATTAAACTTTTACACATCGGTTGTGTAATTTTTACACAACTTTAGGTATTAAATTTAACACTAGTTGGTGTTATTGTTTAATATTTTAGCGTGTTAAATTTAACACTAAATTAGGTAGATAAATTACGTTTAAAAAAATATTTTTATTTCAAAAAATATTTTATAATTTAATAAAGTATATTATAATATATTTATATAAAACAAATTATTGAAAACATTTAAAAAACCAAATTATAATACTGTAGAGTTAACAACTGTCCTGGGTTAAAAAAAATTCTGCCCTGCTTAGCTAAAAGGCCGCATCTACAATATTAAGTAATAAAAAAAAGATCATTTTCATTGTTTAAAATTAACTTACCTACCTAAAGAAGATAAAATTTCATGTGTTACTGGCAAATTTGCCATTACCCATTTTGTTTCGTGAATTTTAAATATGCAGAGGCAAGTGCAAAAAAGAGAAGTGGAGTTATTCACTTTTAAAGTTTTTGCTATATACAAAAATCTGGATACTTGTATTTTTGTTTGCATTAATCAAATGCAGAACTCGTACAGCTTTGACGTTATAAGAGAATTTAAAAAAATTTGAATTGTGGGACAAATTGTACACGATATTTGTTAAAATGTACACAACTTCGTGGTTACACGTTTTAGTGTTGATTCCCAATTTAGGAACATTGGTGTAAAAGTATTTAGGTACACGTTTTTTACAAAAAATGTATAAACAAATTTTAACACAAAAGAAGAGAATTTACACACAGATATTTTTTTGCAGTGTATATCGTTACTTTAACCCACTTCACTGTATCCTCTAATTTCAGTTTTAAAACCAGTTTTTTTATTCTTTGCACTTGTTAAATAGGTATAAGGAATTACAATAACAATAAACATTGGACAGTTGTTGCGAACACCTTATAATTCGTATACGAATTAGAATAAAGTAAGCAGAAACATTTAGCAGACGCTAAAGTCAGTGGAACTTGTTGATGCGCATTGTCAGTGGAAAATTTTTTAATTGACTGCCTAAAATCACTTGTACTTTTTCAACGAAATAATTCGTTAAACATTAACAAAATAATCTGTAACCTTTAAAATTAACAAAATCCCTACAAAATTGCATATAACTTTTGAAAAAGTTTCAGTAAAATATTTTTCTTTGTTAAAATAAATAACAAAAAAATATATTAAAATGTATAAAAAATAAAATTAACAAACTACAAACTCATGTTAACAAATCTTATATTTTTATAACAGTGTACTTTGCTGGGTTTTAGGAGCTGGCGGTTTATACACGGCCCATTCGCTGTCTTGGTCAAGAAACGATGAACCCAGGACAAACGGCCTTATGCATGCAAAAGTTTGGATGCCTGAAGACCCGAGAACCAAAGATGGAAACGTATCTACTTTTAACAATTCCTTGTCGGAATAAGATATAACTTATATAATACTTACTTATAATTGTTATTTTGTTGTGATTTTTACATAGCGTCCTTTTTATTTATATTATTTAAACTCATTGTACATAGCAGATCATAATCTAGTCTTATAGTCTAGTCGAAAGATGTATCCTCGAGTACCTGTACATATATTTGTTTAATAAATTTTTTATTACACATTTTGTTTGATATTTTGGATTGCAGAACCGACTTTCGATAAAAATGTTTACTAAACTAAGGTAAGTAACACTTTTTTACAGATCTATCTTTCGGGCGATGCATCGCGATAACTGTACTTATGGGACATTTAATTTTTTTGCTGCGGGCGGGTTATATTTTTTGCTGAGAGACATTAAAAACAATATTTTTACTTCCTCTGTTTTGGGGGCCCCTCGAAAAATAAATGAAAAAAAAATAAAAATCATATCCCAAAAACCCTGCCTTGTAATTTTTAAGTTTATCAGGCTAAAATACATTAGAGAAAAAAAGTGGCACCGAATGTACCTAATTTTTTTTAATTAATTTGTAAACTAGTGTAACTTTTTTAATTCAATTTTTAGAGTTTTTTTTACATGCATCACATTTCAACAAACAATGGACAGTCGATGAGTTTTCGCTCCAGCGTCGGTTTTGCAATCCACTGCCTCAATTTATATAAACCTAGAGAGGTGTATTTTTGATGTATTGACTATATTCCGGATTCGCCATCTTTAACAACGTGGGAAAGAACAAATGTAGCCAATGGGAAGAATCCAGAATATCGACGCCTGACGTCACAATCGACGCTGGATGCGTGGGAGTTTACAGGTGGAATTCATATGAAAGGCGTGTATAAGTTTTTGTTAATACCTTGATACACACGAAATATATATTAATGTAGCATAGCAAAAATCAAATCATTTGGTTCTAGGTATAATAAAAAAAATCGTTTCAGTATATTGAATAAATACCTACATATATTTTATATCGTTTCGTTAATGATACAAATTTTTATAAAAATTAAATAACTCCTGCAATTTTGCGAATTCGAAAAAAATGGTTAAGGAAATTTCGTCTTTGATTTTCGGTTAAAATCGCACAATAAATAAAGATTTTACAGGGGTGATAATATATATTATATATAAAAACATTTTTTTCTGATGAAATAGTACTTACATAGTACTTTCATAATTAAATGCGCTTTGAAAAAATAAGAAATAAAGAAAACAAAAATTTAAGAAATACTTATTTTTGCCTATTTTTTCTTTATTTCGTTTAAAATTGATTTAAAATACTTTTAAATTAAACATAAAATAATATTATTTTTTATTATTATTACATATATGTATGTATACCTATATAAATGTTTTAAATTACATAATCAAACTCGCTACCCTTCTTATATTTATCATAATGGAACTTTCTTTTATTATTGGTTTGTTAAAACTATCTTATTAAAATTAATGGCATTTTCTTTGGACAGCAAATAATACGGACATTTTAGGATCTTTTACTTATTGGTTATATAACTAATATAAATTAATCTTCAAGTTTATTTAAACCACTTTATTTACCTATTCGTATTTCATAACTCTTTGATCTAAATTCGGTTAATGTAACACATTGTAATTAATAATTGCCAAAATTAGTTACCTAAATTAAACTAACTTGTTATTTTTAAAATAACTAACCAGTATTAATTAACGTTAATTTAACATCGAGTTAAAATATATTTGGTAAAATATAACTTGTTGGTTAAAAAAAATATCCAAATTAACCAATGCTGAGGTTAAAAAGTTATATAAAAACTTAAACTAAACAAAAATATGTTTAAAAAAATCTGAACCATTTTCAAAGGTTAAATTATACTAAAAAATAACCATTGATTTCAACTTAAGGTTATAGCAACCGGTTGGTAAATTTAAAGGGTTATTTTTTAGTTCGTTACTATTGCTAAAAAAATAAAATGGGTGAATACAACTAAGTGGTTAAAAAAATAGATTAAAAAACGTTATTTTTATTTTTTTCATATAAAAATATTTTTTTTACTTTCAATTCAAGATGTCAACCAAAACATTTTTCCCTTCGCACATATTTTTATTTGCCCTAAAAGAATAATATTTTTGCTATTACTAATTTAATTTAAAAAAGCGGATATTCGACCCACTGTATACCTATATATATTTATAGATGTAATAAATCTTATGTATTTAATAATCACTGGTGTAATACCATCACATCATAAATTTTATTATTTGTCAAGCCCTTATCTTGTTATTATTAATAATAACTTATGAAACACCTGTGTTGATTATTCCCATATTGAAACTATGAAAATGTAATTTTAATATGCTTGTACAGATTAAAAAATATATATTAAATTTTTTTGAATTTTTTACTCTGTTGCACCATATAAATATAATTATTAACATTTCGATTTGATCTAAAAAAATGTTAACGAAGGGTACACCCTTGGTTTATAAACATTTAAATCCTCTGCCTTATCAAAGGCAGCGGTTTAAAAAAGCGAGATTAAATTCCGGTCTAGTGCTCCGTAAAAATTAAAAATCCCCTTAGGAAGGCGTGAATTGTATTGCGGAGCGAGTCCATCCCTAATACGCATCCACTCCACTATTCCCTGCCTTATTTGAAATAAAATAAACACGATACAGCTGCACATTCATAGTTTTCATACCCTTAAAAATAATATTATTAAAATGTGATACGTTTGCACCTGTATGGCCTATGACTCTTTCTAAATAATGTTAACTGTTACCAATGTGGGTATAATAATAAATTATTAAAACACAAATTATTGTACACCAAACCCTTTACTTAATTAAAAATTATACATTTTTTTAAAGGAATGTAAATGTTTTCTTGTCATTTTCCTTCTTTAAAGCTGCATCTCGTAGGTAATAGGTATATGAAGTTATCAAATCGTCCATCTTATAGCCTTGCGACGTTTCAAATAGCAACTTGGTTTTTCTTAAAATGCTTCCAACAGTCAGATGGAAATATGTGTTACCTGAAGACCAACTGTTCAAGTCAGCGAATTCGTGAGTTGCTAGAATTTCCTAAAACAAAAATAAGAAATTTTAATACTTGTATAAGAGGCTTGCTTATTCCCTTTCTTGCTGTTCATAAACATCGATTTCTTAACATGTATGTTCACCCAACGACAACCCAAACATCGCCTATGTTTAAAGGTATTTCGTTTCTCATATGTTTAAAGGCTTAAATGTTTCTAGGACAGAGAGTTTATTACCTAAAACTTTTAGGCTAAAATTGTGTTAAATAATTATTTTAAAAATCATTGGTGATATTTAATAATTTAAATAAAAACAACTTAAGAAAATGCTGAACAAGCCAAAGAACAGATCTTCTCGCGGGGCCATTAAGTCCATCCTTAAATGGAAAAGGGTAATCTTAAAATAATTATTTGTAACTTATTTTTACACAGACTTTTGGTGACTTGAAGGCCTATAGGCCTGGAAAAGGGCAAGGAAACTAGTCATTTCTCACATGGAGGCTGGCAATGTCAGGGAGCCAGTAGAACAAGTTAATGACATTGAGGATAAATTAACAGAGAAGTTAGTGGTGGATGAATTACCATCTTTTGAACTCTGCATTGAAAAGGTCAACACAGGCTGTGTGGAAGAGCCCCTTCTAAAACAGAGAGGCCAAGAGAAAGTCCAACTCAAACTCTGATGAGTAGTGAAGGTGTAGAGTGTTCTTTGGTGTTTTTAAAAGGTATTGATAAAACCTAAAATTTATTTTTTCCAAGTTATTTTTAATTCTACCAATATATATATATAGTTTTTATAGGTCGATTTTAGACACTCTGCCCCCTTATATATGTCAAAGTCTTGACCTCCCTCCCCCCAAATTCTCACCTCACACTAAGATTTTTTTAATTTTCTGTTATTTCTAAATAAATTAATTTTATTAAACAATTTAGTAAAGCAAAATTTGTATTTTGACAGATATTATGATAAGGTAAGGTGGGGTAATTGCGATATGTTTTTGTACTAGTTGGCATTGTCTCTTGAATTAAAAGTAAGGAGTGATAAAACTAAACCAAACCCAAAGCTCATTATATAGCCCAACTACTCAAGAATTGGATTCTTAAGTATAAAACGTTAAGAACTAAGACTCAGAAATATTTAAAAAAAAAAATTAAATGCTCTACAAAAAAGGTTAAATAAAATTTTCCGTCAGATAAACCGTTTCTTTAAAATCATGTCTTAAAAATTGATATAGTTTTACATTTTGATATTTTAACTTTGTAATTTTGTAATTCATGTAAAAATCAGTACCTACCCATAAAAAACCGATAAATGTTCTTATGGAAAATCAAATGCTTTACAAAAAAGCCTCTTAACATTTTTGGCTAAATTCACTCAATCAAAAGTTATTCAAGGTTAAAGTTGAAGTCAAAACGAAATTCTTGTTTTTTCCTCTGTAGATTTTTTTTCTGGATGATAATTTGATTTTTTTTCTTTATAAATGTGTATTATATAACTAATTAACAATTTCCAATAAAAAAACAACATGATTGTTGATTATTCTCAAAGCGAAAAAATTCGAATGTGTTATTTTTTTTTTAATTTTCAGTAATTTTATCAATAACATAAAGATTATCATCGATAAAAGAATCCAAGTTTTAAACTGACCCAAAAAACAAATCTAGAGCGAAAAAAACAAGAATTTCGTTTTGACTTCAAATTTAACCTTAAATAACTTTTGATGGAGTGAATTTAGCCAAAAATGTTACAAGACTTTTTTTGTAGAGCATTTGATTTCCCATAAGAAAATTTATCGTTTTTTTTTCCGGGTACCACTGATTTTTACATGAATTACAAAATTCAAAAGTTAAAAGATCAAATTGTAAAAATATACCAGTTTTTAAGGCATGATTGTAAGAAAACGGTTCATCTGACGGGAAATTTCAATTTAACCTTTTTTGTAGAGCATTCAATTTTCTTCAAAAAATATTCTTAGGTCAATTTTGTTAAACTCAATGGTTTGGGAGTTCTGAGACAAAAACAATCTCAGGAAAAAAAATCTAAAATTGCGATGATAGACCTCTTAATATTAATATTATTTGTCACCCCAAACAATATTTTCGTTATACTTTACAAAAAAAATAGTCGATTTTTTTGGCCCAGTCTACTGTTTACTGTACCAAACATCGCTGCATTTTATGATTAATGCAAGAGAAAAAACCTCAAATATTGGCTAACAGCACCTTTCAGGCAAGCGTTCATAAACATACGTTTTTAAACATTACCAAACAGCGAATTTTGGAAACGGAATATCAAATGATGTTTAGAAACGTGGATGATTAAGAAATTCTTTAAGCGCATGCGTCTATAGACGAAACAATTGGAGGGGAATAGGCAATTTTTACGAAACATATGTAGCACAGATTAAAGGTAGTTCATGAACAATGTTCATTGAACATGCATGTTCAACGAAAGGGAATACGCCTCTAAAATGTTGCCCAAACTGTGTAAACTCCCAATTTAATAAAAGTAGGTACCTTGGTGTGTGGATGAATAATGTTGACCCCGCGTTTGTTGATAGCCACAATAATAATTTCCGGATATGTTGGTTCGGTGGTTTGCTTAACTTCGAAGAACGTCGATCCGAACGTGGGCCACTCGTGGATGTGTTTTAGGAAAGCCAATTTCGCCTCATCGAAACTCATCGAGCTACTCTTTCTGTACTCGGTCAAAATAGTTTTTCTCCATTCGGAAGAACTTTGCACTTTGTAGACTTCGACAGGAATGAGTTCCTTGAGGCTGTGCTGAAGGATTGAGACGGCTTCACCTTCGTTGTCGCATTTCGCTTTTAGAATTAACCCGGCCAGTTTGATGGCGTCGTTTTTGCCGACTTTGTGAAAACCTTTCAGGTATTTAGGGAGTTCTTGGTGGAAGTGGAAGATGTTGTCGCCGTTGGGGTTCTTACCAGGCACACAATCCACCCAAAGTTTTTTCATGAAGAAGAGCTGGTATTGTGCAGACATCGTGGCGGCAGCTGAATATAAAAATGCTTACAATATGACAACTTTGATGATATGTTAAACAAGTATTAGAAATATCCCAGCGACCCAAGGTTTGGGAAAGAAATTATTCAACTTTTTCCCAACTAAGTTTGATGTACGATATTTTACATGGGGTTTATTTAGACATATAAATTGTATTTTCATCAAGTTTGACCAAAAATTGACAGAAAGTGCCAGAAATCAAAGAAAAGGCTTATTTCACAAAACAAATTAAAAAACTTTTTTAAGGATTCTTCATAAAAAACAATATTTTTTTCCAATTTTTATAATTTAATGTATTTTTAATAAACAAATTTAATTTTTTTTATTGTTTTCTGTGCCTGTATTTTTATCAAATTTAAATTATAAAAAGCATTTTATTTATCCAATTTTCAAATACTCTTTAACAAATTAATAGATTTTAATGTACAAGGTGTGTTCAGAAAATAACGGGAATTGTTAAATTTCGCGGGTTCGGAGGGTCCGGTTGTCATAAAATTTTCTTTATTATGTTGGTTTACATGCCCCCGAAATATGATAAAAACTAGCTGTTTTCATTGTTTACTTTGTTTGTGGCAGCCGCTAAGGTTAGACGTGTTTTATGAGCTTGGCGATTTTTGTTCGTTCGAAAGAAATGGATCAAAGAATTTGTATCCAATTTTGCTTAAAAAATGAAATAAATTCTGTGAAATGTTAACAAAGGCCTATATAGTGAGTCTGCTATAAGTAAAACAAGAGTTTACAAGTGGTATAAGAGTTTCCAAGATGGCCGTGAAGACGTTGAAGATGACGAACGCCCCGAACACACAAGCACATTAACAACTGATAAAAACATGGAAAAAGTGGAAGAAATGGTTATAAACCATCAGAGAAGTCGCTGATGATGCTGGTATATCGATTGGCTCATCCCATGAAATTTTTTCGAATGTTTTGGGTATGAAACGCGTGGCAGCAAAATTTGTTCCAAAATTGTTAAATTTTGAACAAAATTTTTGGCCAAAAACAATACTGTAATGATGCCCCAGCCTCCATATTCGCCAGACATGCCTGTCTGACTTTTTCCTATTCCCAAAAATAAAGAGAACCTTAAAGGGCCGTCGTTTTGCAAGCATAGATGACATTAAAAGCGCATCGCTGAAAGAACTAAACGCTATCCCAAAGATCGAGTTTTAGAAATGTTTCGAGTATTGGAAGAAGAGCTGGCACATGTGCATAATATCCAATGGGGACTATTTTGAAGGCGACAACATTAATGTAGACGAATAAATAAATACTTGTTTCAAAAAACGAAAATTCCCGATATTTTCTGAACACACCTCGTATAGTAATATTCTTTCAAATGTAATTATAATATTTGTTCAAATATTTACCAATTTTTCGAAATAAACATCAACAATTTATCTTCGTTTTTCTATGCTCAAAAATTCCCAAAATTAAACCAACGGCAACCTACCTAACTTTTTCCAAACTACTTTTGCATATTATTGGGCACAATTTAATCATTTATTGTTGGCCATCGCGATTGCACAAAAATCATAGGAATGTTAAATTCTATATTGTACATTTATTGGCAAACTTTTCCAAAGATGAAATGGCAATTCTTGGCCAATAGGGTGGAGCGAAATATGAATATTTTTAAAATTGAAAACGCCTGTATATAGAAAAGTTGTGTATGATTAAAATAAATATTTTGGTGAAAAAAAAATATTTTTTTAATTCTTTCCGCTGCCCCAGAGCTATCCTAAATATAAAAATCATAAAATTCAGACGAGGGCAAAAAGCGGTTAAAAATTTTTTTTTGAGCCAAGACTTTTTTAGAGCATAACAAACTTTTCCAAAGTTGGGCACATTTATTTTCAAAAAAAGGGGCCCCCGGTTAATTTTAAAAATACCAATATTTTCATATTTGACATTGACTGTGGGTCCGCCCATTTCGCTTGTTTTTTTTTTAATTAAAGGCCTATTGGCCAAGTTTTAACCTTATATGGTTCTTTGGGATGTAACAGTTACACTTCGCTTCTGAAGATGCCAACATCGTTTGCGAAAAGTACTTTAAGCACTTTGTGTTTTGTTTTGGTGTTGGGAATATTTCTAATGTTTGTATAAAAATTATAGGTTAGGGTTATTTTTATTTTTTTTACGCATACCCTCTAATTATATTTATTACTTGTTTATATACTCCCAGTAAAAATTTCAGCTCATTCTATAAACGGGAACCCGTGCCGACTTGCATCTAAACCCTCCGTTAGCCAAAGTTAGGCGCGCGCGGTATTTTGTAACACGAAACACTTTAAAAAGAAGATATACTTCATGACTGTATTTTTCTAATGATTTTATTAAATATGATTACTAATTAATATTTTTGCTTTTGTTTATATCATTTGTTTCAATAATTTAGTTGATTTTATCCCTTAAATATATTAATATACTAATTAGTATTGCTAAAATATACTGTTATATGAAATTTCAGCTTTTTATAAGCATTTCTTTTCTTGATGTCCTCCCAAAAATATTTCAGACAGTTCAATAAGTTTTCAGTAGTCATGTCTCACAATAGACTCTTTTAGTTATTTAGAGTAAAACCCATTAAGTTTATCAATTTCAAAGTTTACGGCCTATTCACCAGACCCTTCCGGGTAACTAGCCACTCCCTGTGAAAATATACATTTTTATCAAAGTATACACATAAATAAAACTATATTTTAACGTTTGTCAATAATTTATAATATAAGGGTCACATAATAACAAACACAAAATGACTTACGATCGAAGACCTCGCGACCAACCGTGTTACAAAATACCGTGCGCCTAACGTTGGCTAACGGAGGGTTCAGATGCAAGTCGGCACGGGTTCCCGTTTATAGAATGAGCTGAAATTTTTACTGGGAGTATATAAACACGTAATAAATATAATTAGAGGGTATGCGTAAAAAAAATAAAAATAAGGGACACCCTATTATAGGTATTATTGTTTAAGAAATGAATTAGGTAGTGTCTAAGTAGGTATACTTACTGCCCCAGGATGGTTTGGTGGCTCTGAGCCAGATCATGATGCTGGACATGAAATCGAAGAAGAACTCGTTGCCAGGAATGGAGAAAACTTTGTCGGGGAAAGCGACAAACAGACTGAACCCATCCAGACTTTCCAGTTCCAATCGCGCGGCTATCGCGTTGCAGAGAGCGTCCGCCGTCATAACCGACTCCACCTCGAACGCCTCGTCCGTATCGTCGGGGAAATAGATTTTGTGGAACATCTGCAAGCTTCGGTGCTGAATGCTCTCCACTTCGATCGAGTACGGTGCCATTTTCCTCGAACGGAGTTTCTGTGTCTTTTGGGCCCTCCTTAGGCACGGCTCCGCGAGCGGGTGAAGACGGGACTGCAGGAACTTTTCCAACTCGCCGAACAGTCCCTGATTGGGCACGAACAATCCGGTCGCCAGATACATCAACTCCCAGGCCTTCTCCTCGCTTAAGCACAACCGGTTGAATGTCAGTTGTCGCATGATTTGGCAATAGAGCTCGTCTTTTAAAAGATCGTCTTGCAAAGCAGACGAGAAAATCAAATCGGTGTATTCAGTTGCGTATTTTGCCTTCGGGGCTGGTAAATCGCCCATGTATTTAAGTATGGCCGCGAAAATATTGCAGGCCTCCTTGCTAAGTTCCACGTCGTCCAGCACTTTTTGAAGATGCGGCAAGTGAATCGGTTCCGTCGTGTGTTTCCATAATTCCTCCAAAGAAGCTCTTCGAGCTGAAGTCAAAACCGAAGTTCTTCGGCCTACAGTTGTTCTTCTGTTGGTTCTAAAGTTTTCGCTGGCGTATGAAGCCAACGTATGCAGACGCATTCTTTGGGCAGTGTTAAATTCGGCTAACGTTTGATTTTGCTTTCTGTCCAGTATGCCGTCCTTTTTGAAAGCGGCCAAAATGTCGCCCGATGGATGTTTTAAAGTTGGCAGTATGTGAATTTTGTCGGTCGGGAAGTCTCCCGTTTTTCCGTTGCATTCTCCGTAACCGTACGAAGCGTCGATCAATGTTTTGCCCGTGAGTCCGTTCTTTAAAAGGATCAGGTCGCCCTTTTTGAATTCCAGGAATGCTTCGGTATTGGTCGGATGTTTGTAGTCTTCTATGCCTACGCAGTAGACCGAGCGTTTCTTTAAACCGTCCAGCACGTGCTGCACGAGCGCGCAGAGGTTCTTCGCGTCCGGCGAATGGAAAGCGTATTCTTCTTTCGCGATTGTTTGAATCAGGCACAGCAATTTTTCCTGTTTTTTCTCGAAAGTAACGAAAGTTATGTTCTCGTAAGTTAAATCTTGAAGTATTTGCTCGGCGTCGTCTATAAAGAAGACTCCCGTCCAATTGACCGCTATGATGATATTCTTTTTCGACAGTTCCGGACCGGAAGTTTGCACGGCTTCGTAAAACACCGAAAACAGAATCGGCCAAGTTTCTTTTGCATATTTAACGATGTGTTCTTTAGCTGCATCGGCTGGCTCTCGTTGCTTCACGTAACTCAGGTTTGAAAAAGCTTCCATTATTTTACTCTCCCATCTAGCTAAATCGAGTTGGAGACTTTTCATGATAAAAGTAGGCAAATATTCGTTAATCCTTGCATGCAAGGCTTTTTGATTAAAGCTTGCTCCGTTTTCTACGTAGCATTGCACGGCTATCAAATTAGCGATATCCGCCTCGTTATTGCATCTGTATTCCCCGGACCTTAGGCCGCCTACAATCTGGTGGTAGATCAAGTTGGTGGAGACGTGGTCTTGAGACGGATTGTGCCAAGGCGTAAAGAACTCCTTTCTCATGAACAGTCTCCAGGGGGAATCTTTTTCGGAGTGACCCTTTTCTTTGGAGTACTGTTCGCATTGAGCGATGGCGTCCAAAACGTGATCCATACCGAATCCTATCGACATCACTTTATCGTATACAGCAACGTACAACGAAAATCCGTAGGTGTCTTTTAGGTTTATAGCGCTGGCTATTTCGTTGCACACCTCTTCAGCAACGGTGGCCGAATCGGTTTTTATGTTTTGCTCTGTGCCGTCCAGCAGCTTGATTCTCAACTCAATGGGCTGTTTGTCTTTGCAAGCGATGAGTTCCTGGTAGGAAGGCGGATGCGACCTGGCTCCGTTATTGAACGTACGGTTTAGTCGGTTTTCGCAGTAGGGCGCGTAGCCGACAGGGCCCTCCCTGATGAAGGCCCTGAGGTAGTTTTGGAATTTTTCGCTGGGCGGGAAACATCCCACGCAAAGCGACAGGAGAATCCAGCCACGCGCGTACGAAGGTTTACTGTGATTATTCGTAAGTAGTTTGCAGATTTGACAAAATATTTCGTCCCTGAAAATAAATATACCTAGTGTAATAATTCATTGTTCAGTATCAGGGTGATTCACCTAACATTCATTAGAAGTTTATGGAGAACGGAAAAAGATATCGATTTGAAATTTATATATAAAGTAAATTTATATATGAAGTAATAACGCATGAAAAATAATTTTAAAAAATAGTTTACATTGCCTTATAATTGCTATATATAGCTAACTATTTTTTAAAATTATTTTTCATGCGTTATTACTTTAGGTTAAACCGGAAGTGATATCAACTTTGGTTTTTCAAATAGAACCATATTGTAAATATTTTTAAATTCTACGTAAAATTATAGAAATACTAAAGTTTGATTATTTTTTTAATTTTTAACAGTTTAACGCCTAGTGTAATGATTCAGTATTCAGTATCAATTTGAAATTTGTATAACAATTGAGTGAAGAAGTCCGTAGTCAATGATAGAACCATATAAGCATTGACTCAACTATATAAGTAAATACACTCCCCGTCAAAATTAACGCATAATAAGTAAACAGATTCTATCTCTACACTGTTCAAAATTTTAGATAATTTTTACCTAAAATATTAGACTATATAGGACCATTGATTTTTTAAGGCAAACTGCTTAAAACGAATTCAGAGGAATATTCCCCTTTTAAATTAGTGAATTCTTTTACTGATATTTTTAAAGAAAATGATACAATTAATTAAGCAAAATTACTTGGGTTTCAAAGATAATACACCTTAGATCGTAAGGGATATTGCCTGAGAATAAAAGAATAAATTTCCTGTTTCTAAGGCAATTTGCTTAAATTTTTAGGTACATTTTAGCTAATTTTTCAGGCAAATTATATATATTTTTAGTGAAAATCCTAGCATAGGAATTTTCTTCCAAGTTAGGACTCCTTTATCTTTGTGTCCTAGGCGAATTAAAAACTGCGGTTCCGGTACTACATGTAGTACCGGAACCCTTTAAATAATCCCAACCCTGCAGGGTTGGGATTATTTAAAAATAAACTGGGGTCAATGGGAAATTCCATTTAGTTTGGATTACTTAACTATAGCACTACAAAATGTTCACTTATATCACAATAATTGTTAACTATGTTGTTATATCAATATCACACAACGCGGTCTTTAAGCTTTCGTTGATTTTGGCATTATGGTGGACAATATAGGCGCGAATATTTATCTTAAAACGTCGGTATTAGCGATCGTAGCCGATTGCAAGTAAGTCACTAATATTTAAAGGAATTTACCTAAATTAGTTCAATAATTTGCCATAATAATTTAGAAGAATTACCTAAATTAAAAGCAAAATTGTGGTACCTAAAAGTAATTGAGGTTTTGACTAAATATTTCGGTAATCTGCCTTTTTTTTTAAATTTGACAAGTTTATTAAGTAAAGTATGAATATTTATCTAGAAGTTAGTGAATACACCATAGAACTAAGGCATTCGTTTCTGCCTAATAAACGAGAAGGTAAATTGCTTTACTCGTTTAAGCATATTACCTTATTTTTCCTTAACTAATTCTGATTAGGTATTTCAAAAGGCTTGATTTTGAACAGTGTAACACGCCTTTACCAATCTTTATGAAATTTTGTTAACGTGTTCAGGGGTTTTTCGAAAAAATATCCTTAAAGCACTTTTATTTAATAATATAAACGCTCGAAAAAAAACTTTTATAGGGAAATTTTTTGTTAGTAAATAAAAACTATTTTGTGAAAGACCATATAAATGTTGTAAAAATCAAACGAACAGTAACGAAAATACAGCGCTTCAAAGTCGTCAAAAATGACCATTTTTCAGCAATATAATCAAAAAGGGGTCATTTTTGCAGACTTGCGCTGTATCTTCGTTACTGTTCGTTTGATTTGTACAAAATTTTCAGCTTATACTAACAAAAATACGGTCTTTAACAGCAAATTTTTTATTTAGTTAAAAAAAACCTAAAAGTTATTTTTGGAACGTTTTTTATTATTAAATAAAAGGGCTTTAAAAATATTTTTTTGAAAAATCCTCGAACACTTAAATTGAGATTTGAGAATGTTGAAGTATTTTTATACAAAATTTCATAAAGATTGGTAAAGGCGTTTTAGAGTTTTTTTTACTTATTATGCGTTAATTTTGACGGGCAGTGTATTATTGCATTTTTAAATTCTACGTAAAAGTCTAGAAATACTAAAATTTTATTATTTTTTTTAATTTTTAACAGTTTTTAAGATTTAATTTTTTTCAAAAATTATAAATATATACTACTACTACTATATATATGTATATAAATGTGCAGATCCGATTGTGATATATCTACCACGAAACCTGGAAGTACACTCGATATTTGTTAGATATTTAGATATTTAAAATAAAAAATGTTTTTTTATACTAAGGTTATTGTAAGATATTTAGATATTTAAAATTAAAAATGTTTTTTTATACTAAGGTTATTGTTGAGGAGTGATTTTTCAAAAGGTCGTATTTCCATTTGCAACAATTTTTCAAAAAAATGACTATAACCTGTATAGGTTAGGGCAATATAGATTATTTAAAAAAAAATTCCGATGAATATTTAATAATACTTCAGACCTGCTGTCATATTTCGCCGTTAATATATGCCTTTTAACCATACCTTTGGGATTTTGTCAAAAAATTACATTCAAGTAAAAATGGAAATAAGGCCTTTTGAAAAATCACTCCTCTGTTATTGTTATTTTTTGGAGTGTGAATCTGACGAAAGTACAGGAAAATCATGAATTCAAATTGTATATTTGATAGATGAATGCATGGTGTATGCTTGTTGAAATTTATTTCAACAAATTTAAAATTGTTCTAACGTTTGAAGTTTTACTTCGACAGAGTGTTGCAAGATTAAAAGTTAATGTTTTTTTTAAATAAAATCATTAAAATCCTACCTTAATTCTGGACGAAAGATACCATGGCTTGTCACAAAGTGAATTTTCTCCAAGTTTGAAGTGCGCCTATTATTTAACCAGTGGTTGTAGCTGTCTCTGGCATAGGAATCCTCAACAAAACCTTTCTTAACGTCCTCGAGCAATTTCGACTTTCTTTTGAGAGTCATGTTAATCAACTTCTTCCTGTCGTATTTCCGCATGGTCGCCATTTTTTGTTCTTCCTTCACCAAATCCTGGTATTCCTTTCGATTCGCGAAACTTCTGCTCAGCGTTTGTCTGACCTTGTTGACGACCAGCTCGTCGTCGTCGACAACGTGTTCGAACTTGGCTTCGGGGTAATCCCCCATAAACCGAAGTATCGTGATCCAGATGGCCTGGGCGGCCAGGGTGTCGTCGGGCGTCGGCAAATCCAGAAGGGCTTCTTTAAGAGGTCTGTTCGAGTACTGATGGCTCACGCTACGCACGAAATACGTGGCGGCGAATTTTCTGAAGTTGTACTCTGATAGATCTTCGTCGAATTGTTTCAAGTGCGAGGCTCTTTTTTGGTTTTTCTATAAATTAAAACAGGTTTTATTTCTAAAATGAGTTTTAAAGCCCAAGAAGTTGTTTTTGTGAAAAATTGTTATTTTACCTCATTTTTTGATTTCCATTTGATCTTCCTAAAAAGCGTTTTTAACGCGATTCTATTCATAATAGGACGTTATTTTGTCGCACGCGGACAATTTATAAAACAAGAGACGAAGGAGCGAGTTTTGTAATGGACGAGTCTTATGACATGAGTTCTTTCCTGATTTATTCTAAGAATGTTTTTTAAACCTTCCAGTGACAATATTTTTAGGATTATGCTATATTTCTTCTAAAGAACATGCTTGAAGAAATATAGCATGATCCTAAGAATATTCTTACTGGCCTATAGGCAGGTTCTTAGAAGGTGCAGAGTTTTAGTGGTAAAAATTAGTCTACTCTAAACATATGCTTAGTTTGTTAAGAAAGTAATTGTTATAGAAAGTTCATTTAGGGATATTCCTGTTAAGCATATTTGGTTCAGTTACCTATATAATAGTAAAATATACCATAAACTACGTATAAAGGTATACTTATACCCATACTTAAGTACCTATAGGTACTTAAGTATAATTAGTAATTAGTATTAAATACTAAGTAAAAAACACAATCCAAAATATTTTTTATAGTTATTTGTTAAATTAAAACAATATTCGATAACAAAAATACTTTTACTATAGGTATTTTATTTTATGTTAAAAATAAATATTTATTAATTTTTATACCGATTTTTTATTTCTCAATTAACATTTTTATGTAGAATAATCCTATCTTCAACTTCAATCTAATTTGACTTATCCCACAAAATTTTCCAATTTTACTTTTTATGAAATAATGTCATACAACTTATGGTTTAGAGGTCAAATTGTTTATTTAATATTTTTAAATAAATATATTAATATGTCGCAAAATTGTTTAAGGGGACGACAAATACATTTCCCATGGGGAAAAATCGACTAAAGACGATCGTCTTTAGACGCGAATTCGTCCAATCGTCTTTCAAACGATCGACTTTCAAACGATTCAATCGGTTGCGTAGGTTAGGCGGTCGGCTGTACAGACGAAATATATATTTGAAATTCTTCTCTATTATAAGAAAGAACTTCAAATATACTTTGGAATATTTGGAATTGTCTATTATTCGAAGTAGGTAGGTATCGCCTTTAGAATTATTTTTTTAATTAATTTAATTAATAATTATGGCAAAATAAAAATATTTTCTCATCGGTTAAGTTACAACTAAAAAATTTTAATTAAAACGATCGTCTTTTTTCGACTATTATTTTAGACGATCGCCTTTTGTATCGTTTATCACTTTAAACGATCGTCTTTAGGGTCGGCTATTATTTTAGACGATTAAAGACGATCGTTTAAATAATTAAACGCTTTCGTTTGAAAGTAAACGATCTTCTTCAGACGATCGTCTTTTTTACAAAAGATCGTTTATAAAATTAAGCGATATCGTTTAAAAATAGACGATCTTCTTCAGACGATCGTCTTTTTTTAAACGATTTTTTTCCATGGGTTCACTGTCATATTATGACAGTGAGGCGTATTTGTCGTCTCCTGAAGAATTTTACGAATGTAGAATACAAAATATTAGAACGTGGGTATCTGACATATTTGGGAATATTCTCAAAAGCTTCCTGGAAGCTCCATAAGAAACCTTCTAAGAACTTTCCAAAAACGTATTCTTAAAATCTTCCTGGGATGCTTTTTAAGAAGGTTTTAAGAATCTAATTGCATCATTAAAAGGGTATTTATTGAATGTTTTAAAAGCCCCTAAGAAAATTCTTAGCAATAAGGGAAGCTTCTAAAAATTCCTTTATTCCGGGTCATATCTTCTTAGAAGATTCTTAAAATCAAATTTTGCTATCAGGGTTTATGCTATTTTATCTCTATATCTATTTTGCAAAAAAAAAATTTACTTATTTACAATAAGCGGCTGTTAATGTTAAAGAAGAAAAAAAATATTTTCTTTGGTGATAAACAAAATTTATTGCCAGAAAAGTCTGGTAAGCAATAGAAAAATCATAAAAATATTATAACCAATATGCAAATAATCAAAATTTTGGGTGGGATAAAGTATCTCATTAGTTTTATAGTATTTTTGTGAGAAGATATCGACTCATTCAAAATATAACAAAAATGAATTGTTTTCATTAGTTGGGTAATAAAAATAAAATATTTGTTTTATAAAAGATTTTATTATATGAAATGTAATATATGCAATACATTTCTGTTATACTTTTTTGAATTATAAGAAATACAACAATACCATAGTTATTTATCTATGTTTAAATATTCTTACCACAAATTCATCGTTAGCCAAAACATCAGAGGGGCTCGAGGAGTACTCTTTCAAAAATAGATATTCATCATCGACCAGTTGTAGTTCAGCTCTGCTCCTCTCTTCCTCCTCCGCTTTATATTTGGCTTCGTAGAATCTATTTAACTCGCCTAATTTTTGCATCATGACCGCTTCGGCTTCCACCTTGTAATTCTTGAAGCCCGACCTCTTCAAATCGATTTCGTCCCGCTTGCGTTGCACCACGATCGAGTAGATTTTTCCGAACGCGGAATGCTTCCTGACCATGTAACCTTTGACGTAGGCTTTGAATTTGTCGACGCACACCCTTTGCTGTTGATATTGATGCGTGGACACTCTGGATCTGATGCAGGCCTGCAATCTGTGGAACCCGTTGCGGATCCTGAGGAACCGCGAGCGATGGCCTCTGGCGCGGAAATGTTTTTGAAACACGATCGCAGCCTCCCTCAACTTCAGATACCTGCTGCGACAAATCCATCCTCTGATGGATTTCTGCAAGACCTTTATGTATCTGTCAAGTATCTGCGCTCTCTTCGATTCGAGCGCTTCCAAGTCGTGGTGTTTCAGGAATACCTTCGTGTTACCCAGCTGGTAGTTTTCGTTTTGCGTGAAGACCTGCGCGCAAACGGCCGCGCAAGAGGCCTTGCAGTCGCCTTTCGAGGACGGTTTCGTGCCTTTCGCCAAATACCGAAACCGATCGACGAACTCCTTGAAGGTGAACCGGATCGGGTAACCGGCTTGTCTGATTTTGGCTGTCTCCATCATACCCGAATAGCGAAGCTGTCTACAGCACAACTCTCGATCGAAAATCTGAAATTTTATGAAATATAAAATACTCCCCTTCGTATCAAGTCTCCGTACAGGATTTGAATCCAAATTAATGATAAAAAGTTAAAGTGATTCTTTAATAGAAGCTACAAATTTAGTTAAAATTATTTTTGATTTCAAGGAGTTTATGAAAAATTTAGAAGAAGCTAAATTTCTGGATAAAAAGCATGACCTCTTAGATCTAAAGTCATCCCTAGAATTTGCTTTCTCATCTTCTGTTTTTTTTCTGTATTCTTATACAGGGTGTATCTGAGAATAGGCGCACCCCTGTAACTTTTTTATTTATAAAGATAGACACATGAAATTTAACATGGTTCATATAAAATGCCACTTATAAGAGTACAAAATGAATTTTTCGGTTCCGCCGGTTTCGCCGGAAATGATATTAACTTTCGATTTTTAAATGGAACGCCCTATATATTTTTACATATTTAGAATCCTGAGAAAATTCTGAGTCGGACAGCATCCTTAAATTGACCTTTCGACGTTTCGTCATCAGAAAATGCATCATCATAAAAATCAATCTAGAGTACTTTGAACTATTTGAGAAAAACGAATTTTGACAAGTTTAGACTGCTGGGAATGGCTGAATAACAACTTTCTAAGGGAGGTTCCATTTTTCAGGCATTGTGTGAATCCATTAGAAGAAAATAAGATAGTTCAAAGCACTCTAGATTGATCTTTATGATGATGCATTTTCTGATGACGAAACGTCAAAAGGTCAATTTTGAGGATAATGTCTGACTCAGAATTTCCTCAGCATTCCAAATATGTAAAAATGTATAGAGCATTTTATTTAAAAATCGAAAGTTGGTATAATTTCCGGCGAAACCGGAAGTTCAAAAAATTCATTTTGTACTCTTATAAGTGGCATTTTATATCCTTATTAACCATGCAAAATTTCATTTTTTATTTAAAAAAATGGCACTAAAATTATTTTCCTCTTAAAGGATGACAACTTATTTGGTGACACCATGTATAACCAACCAGTTCCAGAAGATTTTCGATCCCCTTCAATATTTTCTAGTTTCATAACTTTTTACGGCATTTTCGAGTTTAACATAGAAATTGACTTTTAAATTTTGTTGACAAGTTTGTTAATACGTACTTGTGGTTTCTTAAGCTCGTTTGGTTTGATGCATCTAACAAAATAGGGATGGCAAGCGTTTAATGTTTTCATCAGTTGGTCCAGAGAACTTTTGAATTGGAATGACAAGGTTACCATTCTTTTGGTTGTAGTTTCTTGTTTGAACTCGCTATCAAATATTTCTTTCAGCATTGGGTGGGTGCTATTTAGCACTATGCCTTTTAAGTCGTGACTGAAGGTGTCGCGATTTTTTTCCAAAAACCCTGAAAATAAAATATTTATACATTTCGATGATATTGGTACTTATAGAAAAATATTTACCGGGTACATCGTAAAATACCGGTCCGGCATAATGGTTGATGCCGAAAGAAGGCGTCATGTCAGATTTTGGTTTGAGGTAGTTCGTATTTTTGGAGTGTTGCGCATGAAGTTTGCTCAACAGTGAAAAATCAGTACCTTTTGGAAATTTGGATTCATCATCGATAAGGGACATAACGTTGAGAGGTTTTACAGAAAGGACATCCAAAACTTGCTGGTTATCGATAAAAGAAATGTTACCCCAACTTATTCCTTCGTTCGTGTAATACTGTTGCTCCAGTTTAAAAATGTGCTGCACGAAGAACTGCTGGAGATTTTCGTTCGCGAAATTAATGCAAAGCTGTTCGAAACTGTTGACTTGGAAATTTTCAAAACCGAAAATATCGAGAACACCTATTTTCTTGTAAGGGTTCTTTGAAACAGAGATAGCTTTATTAATTTTTTCCACTATCATGATAAATATTTTCCCGTATAAACCTTTCGCGAACGCGTTTTTTGATTCGTCTGCTTGATCTTTGGACAATAACGAAACGACTGTATCGCCATGAGCTAAAATCGTTTTTTTCGTGAGGGCTTCCGATAGTTGCGATTTGGTGCTTCCCAACAATTTCGCAATTTTTTCAGTCAAACTGGAATCGCCCACCTCAGACGACTCTGTATTCGCAGCTGAGCCTTTCTTTATCTTCAAGTTACCCAAATGCAGTATAGCTGCCAGCAAACCGAATATATTAACCGCTTCGGCTTCGGTGAAATTTAAAATTTTCAGTGCTGACTGAATGTCCGAAAACTCCTGCACCTCGTTCCTGCCCTCGCACGAGGTGGTTTTACCCCCGGTCAAGTAAACGAAATGCTTGGCATCGGACAGATCCAATCTTTTCATTTCGTCTTTGCTCAAGCCGGCCAACATGCTGTAAAAAATGTGATAGTTCCTCTCGCCGACGTTCTGCGACACGATGCGACTTTTTTCCAGCAAGTACTGCTCGATGCGGGCGCCCTCTATGATGCCTTCTCGATTGAACCCGATGTCGATGTATTTTCCGAAACGGGAGGAGTTGTCGTTGCGGACGGTCTTCGCGTTTCCGAACGCCTCCAAAATCGGATTTGCCTCCAAAATTTGCTGCTCTATCCACGAATGCTGGCCGCTGGCGGACGCCAAGTATTGCAACAGAAGCTTGGTGCTCTCGGTTTTTCCAGCTCCGCTCTCCCCGCTTAAAAAAATTAACAAAATAAATAAAATAATATTAAAAAATTGCCGCAAGGTTGCAGACCAGTGCATTCTTTACTTTTCTGCGGTACAAGATCCAAAAGGGTCTTTGAATTTGAGATTGGGTCATCTGTCAAATTAATTTTAAGTTTAATTACACAGCCACATAAAAAAACAAAAGTACCCGTATCTTGGTATGTGACATAGATTTTTGAATGTATTTTGACGCGCTGAATCCGAATCCTATGTCAAAATTCGCCCTCGTTGTTCTATTACTTTGATATCTTAATGAAACCGTTCTCCTTGTTCTTCACTGTAGTCTCCAACAGTTGCGGGGAACCTATCAAGGTGTGAATGAAGAAAGGGTAATTTCAAATTAATGAATTAAACATCCGAATTTTTGAAACGATATCAGGGTAGATGGAATGAAGTTATGATGGCTAATTTTTGCTGGATGCTGAAAAGAGAAACGAATGTTCTAGGCGAAAAAAGAAGGCGTAACCCCTTACACACAGTGTCCCTGAACGAAGTTTAGGTCACATAAAAATGACGCCAAAAACTGATTGCAGTTTCTTGTTCGGGACCCTTTGGTGACTTAAAAATTATATTTACCAAAACCCTAGCTGATCCTCTTTCCGAAATTTTTTGAAAATTCATGATTTTTTTTTTAATTTTTGTGTACACATTTGTACACCGACTTTAATAATATTGGAGTATATTGTTAAGGAGATTTGGAGAATACTGTTTATACTGTGCACATCATTTAATATATACAGGGTTAGCCAAAAATTGCTTCTTTTAATAAAGCAAAAGCGTAAATTCATGATTTTGGCATAACACGCAAAAAAGATATGTACCCACCCATGTTTTTTTAGATATTTTTATGTTTATCAGGCTACAAAATGGGATTCTGATCAAGACTTTATAAGAAAAATTGATTTTGAATAAAATTAAATAAAATAATTTTTTTTGGAGATAAATCTGTTTTGTGCATTATGCTTTTTACTATATTAAAACGGGATTTTTGGCTAATCCTGTATAAATCTAATGATGTGCTCAGTATGAAATCAGTATTCTCCAAGTCTCGTTAACAATATACTCCAATATTATAAAAATTGGTGTACAAATGTGTACTCTGTCAAAGGTAAGATAAACAAAAATTTTAAAAAAATTAAGAATTTTCAAAAAAATTCGAAAAGTGGAGCAGCTAGGATTTTGTTAAATATCATTTTAAAGTTACCAAAGGGTCCCGAACAAGAAACTGCAATCAATAAAAATCGGTGTACAAATCTGTACTCTGGCAAAGGTAGACTTTGCGATAAACAAATAATTAAAAAAAAATGATTTTGTAACAAATTTAAAGAAAAGCAGTTAGAATTTTGGTAAATACCGTTTTTAAATCTCTAAAGAGTGCCGATCAAAAAACTTTAACCAGTTTTTCGTTCAAAACTAAAAACTTCTAAAATGCCTAAATTAAACATGATTTTGGCATAACAAGCAAAACAGATGTATCCCCTTTTTTTTTAGATATTTCTATGTTTATTAGGTTACAAAATAGATTTTTAATAAAATTAAATAAAATAACGATTAGAGAATATTTAAAATGTTATTAAAAATCTATTTTTTTAATAAAAAGTTAATAAGAATGCCATTTTGTAACCTAATAAACATAGAAATATCTAAAAAAAAATGGGGAAACATCTGTTTTGCTTGTTATGCGAAAATCATGAATTTACGCTTTTGCTTTATTAAAATTAAGCGATTTTTGGTCCACCCTGTATTCTTTAAGTCTCCTCAATAATATACTCTAATTTTATAAAAATCGGTGTACAAATGTGTACTCTGTGTAAGGTAGACTTTGAAATTAACAAAAATTTAAAAAAAAAATCATAAATTTTAAAAAAATTTCGAAAAAAGGATCAGCTAGGATTTTGGTAAATATAATTTTTAATTCACCAAAGGGTCCCGAACAAGAAACTGCAATCAGTTTTTGGCGTCATTTTTATGTGACCTAAACTTCGTTCAGGGACACTGTGTACACTAGGGTGTCCCGAAAAAAAAGAATATTTTTTTTCTTCTCGTCTCTTGTGAAAATATGTTAGTTTGTCATGTTTTAAGAGCCCTGTCAAAAGATCAGCACCATTAAAAAATTTTTAGGGGTCGCTCAAGATTTTTAAAAATTACCAAAATCGTAAAAAATTGGATTTTTTTTTATTTTAATTTTTTTTCTCGTTCCGATATTATTTTTTAATTTAAAAATAATAATGATTCTGAAAATTTCAAATCGATATTTTAATTTCTAAAGGTCGCTCAAGATTTTTTTAACTTTCAAAGTAGAGTATTTTGAATGTTTTCGAGCGACCTCTGAATATAAATATCAACGAACTTTTAGCGACCTTTAGAAATCAAAATATTGATTTGAAATTTACAGAATTTTTATTATTTTCAACCTAAAAAATAATATCGAGACGAGAAAAAGAATTAAAATAAAACAAAAATTCAATTTTTGACGATTTTGAAAATTTTTAAAATTCTTGAGCGACCCCTAAAAAATTTTTAATCGAGCTGATATTTTGAAAGGGCTCTTACAGCGTGATAAACTAACATATTTTTACAAGAGACAAGAAAAAAAAATATATTCTTTTTTTTTGGGACACCCTAGTGTACACAGATCTTTCGAAGAAAAAAGAACACGGTATGGTGCAAAAGAACAAAAGAAAAAGGCTAAAAAATATTAGTGATTTTGACATAATGTCGATGAAAATTCCAAAAACAACTCGAGAAAAATCGTGACCGGGGGCCCGTGGAATTTTGCCCGCTCTGCTACCCTGTAGTTACGCCACTGATTGAATAAGATACCAACTTTGTGAAAAGTTTGTAGCCATGCTAATAAAAATTTTATAAAGGCATTTTAGATACGAGGTTAGATAAGTTTTTAAAACGAGTTACATACCTACTATACTTTATCTACGACACAAAGATTAAAATTTTATTGGTTTAACATTTGACGTCTGTCAACTTTAAACCCCACTTTCCCATAATTTATAATAAAGCTAACTTCAGTCCGTGACTAAAATGCCCGAAAGCCAATATTGCTAACTTAAGCCCGTGACTAAAACGCCATAAACTCATAGCTCGTCAATGTAGGAGTAGATAAATCAAATTAAAGTGTTAAATTAAAAGTTCAATATATATAATATTATGTATTTATATGCGCTTTTAATATTTTGACATTTGACCTTTCCAAAAATTTCCAAAACCCGTAAATTTACAGGTTTAAATCCCCGGATATTTTCAATTCCCAGGACTTATTATTATTATTATTTTTATATGATTTTTTGAATTATCAAAACTTGCACCTTAAAAACCCCATTTTGTGCTCCAATCTATTTCAAGTTTATATATATTTATATTTTGATAATTTAAATGAAATTATCTAAAAACACCTGATGAACCCATATAATAATTATTGTAGTTGGATTAAATATTAAAAAATAACTATGAAAAATAATTTATAACAATTATTGTACCTAGGTAGATTAAATATCTAAAAATAACTATAATAAATAATTAATCTACTTACCTAATAACAATGCATTGATTTTTTTTTGTCGTTTTCATGTCGTTGTAACTGTTATCACCAATAGCAAAAATGTGTGGAGGTAATTCGTCCAACTTCATATTTTGGTATTGTCGAATCAAATTATTCGTATAAATCGGAAGAATTTCGTACGGATTGATAGCTACCAAAAGTGACCCGGTGTAAGTCTAAAACAACAAATAACAAATTAACCCCGGCGCATTCGCCATTTTTTTAACTCACGTAAATTTGTTTTTCCATATATCTTTTGTGTAGATTTCTCAAGATCGCGTATTCCTGTAAATCCCCCAGATTAATCATATCGTCGACGCCTTTGATTGAAGTTACGTGCATATTCTTAATGATTTGCTGGTTGGAAACGTAGGATTCTTGTCCATCGTCATCTCTAATTTTGACGCGAACTTGTTCGATTCCCACCAATTTTCCGCCGATGGGAATGTTAAATTCCCCTTTGGTGGCCGGCTCGGCCCATATGTGGTCACCCTTTACATTTTTATCAATATTTATTTTTACTATTAGGTAATTAAAGTATAAAATGTTAAAACTTACCACAATTAGACCGTTTAAGGCCATCTTTTAAATTATGTAATGAGTTTTAGATACAAAAATTAGGACGACATAGCACAAATTGACAAAAATTAAATACTTAACTTTTATCTACTTTTGCCACATATAGATTTTTAGATATCCCATTATAATCTTATCAATTGATATTATATTAATATATATATATATGAAATTATTTTTTGTCTTATCTGTTATAAAAATAATTTATCAAAAAATACAACAATTATATTTTTATTTTAAATATTTTTATTATCTATACAACCAGAAATGCATCTGACCACAATAAAGTAGGCAAAAAATTAATTGTGTTATAAAGGATTTATAGTGTATGTATAAAAGGCACGGAGCGAGTGTTTAATAAACGAGGGGTCAGAGAAGTTTATAAAATGAATTGCATATATGTATGTCCTACAATCGTCCAAATAAACCCACCATATATTATATTATATATCAGATATATTATATATATACCGGGTGTATCTGAGAATAGGCGCACCCCTGTAACATTTTTTATTTATAAAGATGGACAAATAAAATTTAGCATGGTTAATTAGGATATAAAATGACACTAATAAGAGTACAAAATGAATTTTTTTAACTTCCGGTTTCGCCGGAAATGATACCAACTTTCGATTTTTAAATGGAATGCCCTATATATTTTTACATATTTGGAATCCTGAGAAAATTCTGAGTCAGACAGCATCCTCAAATTGACCTTTTGACGTTTCGTCATCAGAAAATGCATCATAATAAAGATCAATCTAGAGTGCTTTGAACTATTTGAGAAAAACGAATTTTGACAAGTTTAGACTGCTGGGAATAGCTGAATACAACTTTCTAAGGCAAGTTTCATTTTTAAGGCATTGTGTGAATCCATTAGAATAAAATAAGATAGTTCAAATTTGTGCTTAAGCACTCTAAATCTAGATCAATCGATCTTTATGATGATGCACTTTCTGATGACGAAACATCAAAAGGTCAATTTGAGGATGCTGTCTGTCTCAGAATTTTCTCAGGATTCCAAATATGTAAAAATATATAGGGCATTCCATTTAAAAATCGAAAGTTGGTATCATTTCCGGCGAAACCGGAAGTTCAAATTTTGTAATCTTATAAGTGGAATTTTATATCCTAATTAACCATGCTAAATTTCATTTGTTCATCTTTATAAATAAAAAAAGTTACAGGGGTGCGCCTATTCTCAGATTCACCCGATATATATATATATATATATATATATATATATATATATTTACATCCCGCTATAGTTGTGAGGTCCGACCGTCCTACGAGCGTTGTGAGGACCGGTGCTTCCCTTGTACTTAAAAGGTCTTATTTGATACGGCCTTGCTCAATTCAAAATTAGCGTCAGTATGGTAAAGAGTATACTCGCTTAAAATCCATAATAAATTTTTTTTTTGTGTGGCTGTATATTCGACAAAGTGAGGACCGATCATGCAGAGTACAAAGCGGGGTCCGTATATCCTGCAGCATGCACGGCATCTTATGAGGTCCGATTTTTGCATATATATTCATTAGACGCATTAAGTGAGGACCAGCAGTGTTGCCACATCGTATCAATGTTGCGTTATAGAATTCAAGCGGCATGATTCGGCGGTATCAAATCATGACCAGTGGCGGATTTACGGGGGGGGTTTTTGGGTACGGACCCATTTTTCTTGAAAATGACTTCTAATATATTTGGACCACCAAAAATATTGGATATGAGGCAAAACTCGCCAAACATGCCACCTATCTGCCTCGACATCAGCCCAAACTCGGAAGAGTTGTATGTACTGTACTGTACAATATTTAACTAATTAAGTGACGCGTTTCGTATATACATAGCGTTCAGGATTTACAGTGGTTTAGTAATTTGCTTATATCTTTCACAAATATTAGGTAATCAATTTAAAATCAAACAAGATTTTAAGTCACATTTTGATGCTGTACGGCATATCCTACTTTAAAAATATAACCTCAAAGTTTTGTCAAAAAAATATCGATTTTTTGTTAAAAAAATACCATTTTTATTTTATTTTTTTGCTTAGTTTTAAGATTAAAGTATCCCAAAAACTTGTCTAAAATAGTTAATAATTGTTATTTTATTGTTAATTGTTAATATTGTTAATTTTTATTTTATTTTTTTAGTTTTAAGATTAAAGTATCCCAAAAACTTGTCTAAAATAGTTAATAATTGTTAGTTTTTGATGAAATTTGGTATGTATACATTTTAAAGCATGTCGCATTCAGTGGCGTACTTGTTTATTTTTTATTTTTTTTACAAAAAACGACCCTAATATTTTTTTCCGAATTTTGACATAGAAAAAAATGTTATAGTGCACTATTAACTATTTTAGACAGATGCCCACTAGTGGGCATCTGTCGGGTGACATTAAAAACAATTTTTACAGCTTACATAGAGTTTTTTATTCTCTCTTTTGAGCCTCTATTCATTAAAATCAAATTGCAAGTACAAAAGCTTCTGCTTTAGGTTTCCAGGGGCGTTATTATAATATGTATTAGTGGTTTTTCGGGATCTGCTCCATGTTGTCGGTTTTTGGTTCTTAAAAGAACCGTATGTCTGACGACGTTTCGGTACAATCTCATGTACCATCTTCAGGTCTTATCTGCTGGGCTGCTGTTGCTGCTCTGTTTATTATGATATATCACAAACTTATAATAATGTTTTAAATTTGATGCTATGGATAAGTTTGTAATTATATTTCTTAGTATCACGTTATTGTCAAACGCTGATGAAAAGCTATGAAATGCCTATAGTTATAAAGCAAATGCTATATTTATAAAACAAATTTGCTTTTAATTCATTTTAATTTTAGACACGTTTTTAAAAACGTGTCTAAAATTAAAATGCTCAACTAATTTGTTTTACTAAATGTCTGGCAATGGCGGATTGTGGATTTTGGGTATACCGATATCTCAGTTATTCACTAAATTTTTTCGGCAAATTTTAAAATTTATTTAATAGAATTGCAGATTTCATACCATTTTAAATTTTTATTATTCTTTTAACTAAAATTTAAAAAAATGGTATAAAATCTGTAAGTAATGGATTTTTAAAATAAATTTTTGAAATTTGTCGATAAACTTGAATTATGAATTGCACCACTTTAATTTGAATTTTTTTAATTAGGGGCGGCAGGGGGCTGATAAGGCGCGCTGAAAAACTAGCTTATTTAAATTTTGCTAACTGAGATATCGGTATAACCAAAATCCCAATCCGCCACTGATGTCTGGTTATAAGTATGCATAAAAGCATCTCGAACAGTAAGGGTTTACCGATGACCTGCTATATTGGCCACTTACCTACGCTTAGTCGCCAAACACACACAAATCGGACCTTATAAGATGCGGTGGATGCTACAGGATCAGAGTTGCGAGATTTGTACTTAAAAAGTATTGCCATTAAAATATTTAAGTTACTTGAGAATGGAAAAAATAAAAATTATCAATACATTGTATTTTTTACTCTAAATTGATTTAAAGTAAAAATACAAAAATAATTGTACTTATTAATTTGAATAAATAATATTTTTTAGTACTTCGTAATGCAAAAAGTTTAAAGTCAAAGTAAAAAATTGATTGTACTTAAAATATAAATGAAAATACAAGTACCAATAATACATCGTCCTTCAAGTCATTGTAATTGTAATAATTTTAATTAGAATCTAAAACATATATTTAATATAATTGATAAACTTTTTACAAATATTTTAATTATTGACATGTAAGTATTTAATATTTGTTATCAACCATTGTATTATTACTTTAAACTATTAATTTTATCATTATCATGTTAACATAACCTTATAATAATTTTACAAATTTTTGTAGTTTGCCTGAAGATGATCTAATATAGATCGAAACTAGTCGCAATAAAAACATAAACAAGCACGGAAGTATCCTTATTCACCATTCTAATCAAATTAAAAAAAATATATATAATGTATTCTGTTCTTTATTATTTTTTAATTATAAATAAAAAAATATTTAGAATCAGTAAACATTTTAAGTTAAAATAAAAAGTACTTGATATTTTCTCTGATTATAATTACAAAATAAAAAAAAAATTGTAATTATAAAATAAAAAGTACCTACTCAATATTTTTCTCTCATTACAATTATAAAATCAAGTAATAATTAGTAATGATAGCATAATCCATTAAAAAAAATACTCAGTACTCCCAACTCTGTACAGGATATACAGAGCCCGGTTTGTACTCTGCTTGATCGGTCCTTTAATATACAGCCACAAAAAACATTGTTAAAATGGGTTTAAGCAATTATACTTTTTATCGTATTGGCGCTAATTTTAAATTGAGCAAAGCCGCATCAAATAAGACCTGTTAAGAACTAGAAAAGCACCGTTCCTCACAACGCGTTGCAACGCTTGTAAAGTACGCAGTGTTGCCAGTGTGACGGACCTCAATTTGTGAGCACGGTGAAGCATCGAAGATATACGTCTTGAAAATATACAAACTTTGAAGCGCCCCCTATAACAAAACGTAAAACTACAGTATACACATTTTTTTGTCCAGTGCACAAAGTGAGGACCAAAGTAAAAACTTGTTAATGGTGTCTCCTGTGAAAGATAGGGTGGTGGTGACAATTTCAAGGGCCGAACGTTGTGAGGTCCATATACGGACCTCACTTTGACTCGGACCTCACAACTACCGTGATTTTGCCCTGTACGGACCCCACTTAGTTCGTTGAACAAATATATATATATATATATATATATATATATATATATATATATATATATATATATATATACATCCCGCTATACTTATGGCGTCCATACATTGACGTATTACATTGGATATGGCGTCCGATTGACATACGGCTTCCGTATATGGACGCCATATCGACTACCCACACAATTCAGTTTATTTTTTAGTAAAAACATTTCTGGTAAAATTTCATCGGGACGCCACATGATCGGTGTTTTGTACGTTTTTGTATATTTTAGTTCTGCATTATTACGCTTGGCTTAGTTGCGCTCTAGTCGACCGTCTGTATATTCATTATTATTCCGTTTTCATGATTTCGCATATTTGGCGTCCGTAAAATTGGCAACCATGGATCATTTAATTTAATTTTATTATTTTAAA